CCCCGCCCACACGCACCCCCCACAGCTTTCCAAGCGAGAAGCCGGAAGGGAAGCGTCCCCGGAGGATTGCCCGAGTGCTGAGGCTGCACTGACCTCGGCGCTCTCCTCTAGGTGGAAGTCTCCTCCCGTCACAATACCTGCATTTGGCTTGGGAAACACCATCCGGGGGGGAGCCAAACTCTCTAGTCAACCTCCCATGCGGGCCCAAGGTCGGCCGTGCCAAAGGGCGTGAAGCGAGAAGCCGGAAGGGAAGCGTCCCCGGAGGATTGCCCGAGTGCTGAGGCTGCACTGACCTCGGCGCTCTCCTCTAGGTGGAAGTCTCCTCCCGTCACAATACCTGCATTTGGCTTGGGAAACACCATCCGGGGGGGAGCCAAACTCTCTAGTCAACCTCCCATGCGGGCCCAAGGTCGGCCGTGCCAAAGGGCGTGAGAATGAAGCCAGCTGCCTGGCCCCGACGCTCTGACCCTGGCGAAAGCCCTTCCTTAGGCACAACAGGGCCGGTGCACAGCCTGCCTGACGCCCTGCCGGCAGACTGCCCGAGTAGCGATGAAAATGCCCAGACCACCCCGGAGCCTCCCTCACTCCAGTGCGAGCAGCATCCCGCGGGGTCCACATGGCGCTCCCTCCCCCCCCGGCAGCTCACCTTTTCAGGGAGGGCTTCGTACTCCCCGGCTCGGATTGCGGGCAGAGATCTCCTGCTCTCCTGCCGCGCGGCTTCTCCGTACAGGTAGACTGCAAGAGGAAATGCACGTGTGATGGAGCCATTCGTGTGGGTGCGGACCCAGGGGGGAGCCCTGGATGTCTCCCCTAGTGCTCAAACGCATGCCAGCTGTAACGCACAGCACCACCGCAACGGGCCTGGTGAAATCACACGCAGCGAAGGGCAAACCGTAAAGCTTTTCAAAGGGATACAAGTTCTCGGGTCCCAAGTCAGGAGCAATGGCCCAGTGAGCCTGGAAACGGACATCTACATGGAAGCCTACTGCTCCCTCGGTTGCTGGCCAAGCCACACGCCAGCGATTCAACCCTTTCCTGCCACTGAGGCCAGACGCAATGCAGGACCCGTGTGCTTTTACCAGCACTTCGAGAGTTCCAAGTAATTAGGGCTTAATGTCTGATGAGTGGCTAGGGATCTGCGCCCGAGGCGATGCAAGCAGGTGGATTTTCGGAAAGGGCTCAGCAGCCCAACTCTCCCTGTGGTCTCTCCAGTTGGGCTCCCCACACCACTTGAAATTTCTGAAAGCCTCAGCCCTCCTTGCTCCAGTGTGGAAGGGACGCACGTCAGATGGTGTTTGTGTGAGCACACGGTGCCCTGGTGGAACCACTGAAGAGACTGAATTCTCTGCCCACCCCAGCACCACGCACCAGGCACGCCCAGCTCCTCCGACAACTGCTGCCCAAAGCGAGTGGCGCAGCAAACGCATTCGTCCATGGTGACGTTCCTCACTGGGACAAAAGGACAGACATCCAGGGCGCCCATGCGGGGATGTTCTCCTAGGGAAGCAAAGCGACATTCCAGGGATTCAAGGCCTGGAGGGGCAAGCAGGGCGGGGACGGGGGAGGGAGGGAGACTCATAGAATCATAGAATAATAGGACTGGAAGGGACCTCGAGAGGTCATCGAGTCCAGCCCCCCGCCCTCAAGGCAGGACCAAGCTCCATCTACACCATCCCTGACAGATGTCTATCTAACCTGACTCAGCTGAGAGGAGGTCAGAGTTCCTTCGTTCCTTATGATTTCAGGACGAGGCGAGTCCCCATCCTGCCTCGGGCCACTGATGTGACAGGACTAGCTGACGGCGCTGCCAGTATTTGCTCAACTGGCTGCCTTGTTTATTCCCAGCAAAGAGAAAACGACCGCAAGTTCAGGGCCATCGGAGGGAGATGGGAAGTCTCCGCTCCCAGCGCAGCCTGCGCCTGCCTGGGTGGATTGCTGGCTTCCCACGGGCCCCGGGGAGGCAGTTTGAAAAGGGACTGCCCTCGCCTTTGTGCAGCGCTGCTCCAGCTGCAGCTGGGGGAATTCAGAGCT